ATTTAGTTCTCCTATTCTGATTCTAAATTCTCACAAATAACTCGAAATGACATCATCCAATAAACATGATTTAATCTCTCAAAATTTGTCCAGAAATGAACATCAACTTCTTTTAAAGATAACTTATTACAAAAGCAAAATTGCAGGTTCATTTCAAAAAAATCAACATTTACATTTAACTGTCTTTTGCTTCACTATATGTAATATGCTTTTCTGTGCTTTCATTCTGGTACACCAAATTCCTACAGTGATTTATTTGTGTGACATTAGAATGCTTAACAAGGACAGAGTGGGATGAAAGCTCAGTTGCAAGAATATTTTTCTGTGAGAACATGAACACTTTAGTCTGAATCACAAACATCAACATAAAAAGCTAAACAAGTTTGTATATGTGTCTTTAACCACAGCACTTTGGAAGCAAAAGCAGGATGATCAGTGTGTCTTGTTGACTGATGTACTGACTTTAGGTTCAGTGACAAACAGTATCTAAAGAGAACAAAGAGGAGAATGGTGGAGCAGGATATGTGAGGTCTTCCTCTGGCCTCTTCACATGTGTATACACATACACACAAACACAAATATGCATGAATTCATCTCACAAATATATACACATACATCCACTCACACAAATTCTCTGCCTCTCTCCCAGATACACACACACACACAAACATACACACACACACACACACAAACACACACACACGTACACACACAAATTGAAATACAAAAGAAATAAAGGAGACTCAAAAGACAAAAAGCAACCAAAGCAACTTGCATCTGGGGTTTCCTTCAAACCAATTTCTCTAAGTTCTCAAGTGCTGTGATAAGAGTTTATGACAAAATTATGATTTTAAACATCAGTAAGAAAGTGTCCGAAGTGGAATTCAAACCAAGCTATGTCTCCATACAGAGACAAGAATCCCCAGATATTGAAGTAGAGCTTGAGTCTGGAAAAATAAATTTAAGTTTCACTTCATAAGACAGAGCACATACTTGACATTGAGATTACTC